CTCTGTCTCTGGTGAAGACTCTCACCGCCCCGAGTCTCTGGCCTGTACCCCAGTTCTGTATGCACAAATAAATAAATCTTAAAAAAAAAAAAAAAAGAGACAGATACTACAGATGATGGAACAGAAAACACCTGGGAAAAGTCTAAATCCAGAACTAGGTATCTTACCTGAGAAAGAGTTAAAAGCATTAGTCCTAACTATGCTTACATTTTGATGAACAAAATGAGAATTACAGCAAGGATAGAGAAATTATGAGAATGCTTCAGAGGGAAATAATGGACTCCAAGAATTCTATAACTGAACTTAAAAACACAATAGAGGGGTTAACAGTAGATAAGAGGAAGCAGCTGATAAGATCAGCAAGTCTGAACACACAATAGTGGGAAACACTCAACAGGCTAGCAAAATAAAAGTTAAAAAGAACAAAAATAGCTTAAGAGACAAGACAATATCAAGAAAAATATTATTTGCATCATAGAGAAAGGAGAGAAAGTAGCAGAAATTTTATTTAAATAATAGCCAAGAATATCCCTATCTTGATGGAAGAAGCCCAGAGTCCCAAAAAACCAGACACACCCAGAGACCATATTATATTGATTAATTAAACTGCTAAAAACTAATGGCAAGGAAAGAATACGGAAAGTTTCCAGAGAAATATGAATTATGTATCAGAAAACCCCATTAAGATTACCTGAATTCCTCAGAGAAACCTTGCATGCTAGGGAGAATCATGGTATCTTTTAAAGTAATGAAAGAAAAGGATTCCAACCAGAATATTTATAATGCCAGACTATCTCTCAAAATTGGAGAGATAAAAAGCTTTAAAGTAGACAAAAACTAAAAGCATTCATCATCAAACTTCAGGGTGCTGAGGAACCTTCTTGAATCACACAGTTAATGAGTAGAGATTTGAAAATGTTTCTCTTATGCATTATGAGCAAAAATAATAAAGGAATAATAATTTTATATTTTTTATTTAAGAGCAATACAAAAATAGCAATATATTTATACACACACACACACATACACTACAGAATACTGTTCAGCAATAAAAAAGATGAAATGCAGCCATTTATAGCAAAATGGAGGGTGTTCAAGAGACTTATGTGTAATAAAGCAAGTCAGAATAACAAAGAAAAATGCTGGAAATTTACATAGTGGATGACTGGACAAAGTAAAATACTTAAAAAAACTAGTGAACATTAACAAATGCCTTGAAGGCCCTGAGGCTTAAGCGGGGGTTGGAAGGAAGGAAAGAACAAGGATGTATAAGGAATGGTGATAGGGAAAAAATAAAATGATATTTTAAATAAGAAAAGCTCTAAATATCTCAAATAATAAACATGAAGTTGAACAGAGAAAAGCAATAAAAGCATATCCATACATTTAGTCTACCAAAAGTATTTTTTTTATAAAAAATGAGAAAGCTTGCTAATTTTCTCAAATGCACTCTCCACTTCTATCTAGATTACTATACTACTTTTCTTTTTTTTGGTCTATTCTATGTTTAGAATATTTCCTAATATTAAGCCATTCTTGGATGGTATATATCTACCTCATTGAGATGTACTGTTGTTCTTTTAATTTTTGTTGCATTCTATTTTCTCTTATGGGGGGTATTTCTCATTGAGATATAATAATTGACATAAATTATATTTGTTTCAGGTGTACAACTACTATGGGTCAATTATTTACATATATTATTAAATGATCACACAAATCTACTTAAAATCCATTTCCAGCTATAGTTATAATTTTTTTTCTTGCATTGAGGACTTTTAAATCTAACCTCTTAGTAACTGTCAGATGTGCAATACATTATTATTAACTATAGTCACCATGTTGTACATTATATCCCCATGACATATTATATACCTGGAGGTTTATACCCTTTGACCTCTTGAACCCATTTTGCCCATTCCCCAATACCCACTTCTGGCAACCACCAATCTGTTTTCTATATATAAGAACTTGATCTTTAATTTGTTTTTCTTAATTCCACAAATATGTGAGATTACATCATACTTGTTCCTTTCTGTCTGATTCATTTCATTTGTACTTGAGCTCACATTTTTGCATTAATATTTGAGTGCGATTTCACCTTTTCATTTTTTACAGGTGCTTTGTTAACTTTTGGAGTCAATGTTAGTTAGACTGGCTTGATAAAAAATAAATTGTACTTTCATATGCTGTATTTTTAAAGCCAAATGTATATGTAGTTACTAAGACATTAGTCTTTAAAAGGCATATAGATTCAATTTTTTGAAAGCTGAATAAATTAAGGATACCTTTGACAAGTTAATCTGAACTGTGAATTTTTTATGTGAAAGTGTGAAATTCAAAAATATATTACCATCATTCCTGATTATAAATTAATAATGACATCTTCCAACTATTTCCCCATTTTTACAATTTACAACACGAAGAGCTTCATTATAAGAGTTAGTCCTTGAAAACTTAGCTCTCTTATTTGTATGCTCAGAAAGAAAATTAAATATATTCACTGATGTTTTAAGTTTCCCATGCTCTGAACTCAACTATTGTGGCTAAAAAACCTTTTCTGTTTCATAAAAATCTAGCAGCACCAAGAAAAGTTCATGAGTTCCAACATGCACTGCCATCTAAGCAAATATGATCAGCAGCCATGAGAGGGGCTTCCCAGTTTACCATGGGATGCAGGACAAATGTTTCATGCTCACTTCTGTGAGAGAACCATGGGGTTCATTCATTTATCTAACACATTTTGCACCAAGACAACTCTAGTTCTCAAACGCATGTGGTGACTGATGGACAACCAGAGAGACAAAAGAGAACCACCGAACTCCCCATTACTGTTTTATTTCTCCTCTAGCTCCCTACAATATGTGCGCTCCCTCTGAGCAAGATATTTTATTGCCTAAAACAATTCCTGGCCCACAGTAAGTGTTCAAGACATAGCTGATACAGGAAACAATGCCTAAATCAAGGAAGCTATTAGTATTTCATTTCAAGATGAATGGCCTGGCCTGTCTGGTTTTCTCCTCCCTGGCTCCCTCCTACCCGTCTCCCTCTTCCCTGAGTCCCTCCTCCCTGGCTCCATTCTCCCTGGTTCCCTCCTCCCCGTCTCTCTTTTCCCTGAGTCCCTCATCCCTGGCTCCCTTCTCCCAGTCTCCCTCTTTCTGCATCCCTCCTCTCTGAGTCAGTCCTCCCTGGCTCACTCCTCCTTGGGTCCCTCTTACCTGGATTGTTCCTCAGGCGGTTCTCAGTGAGTTCAGAGATGGCTCCAGCTGTGGAAGTCTTTTTCAGTCGAGCTACCCCGGAGACAGTGGCACTTCCTGGCTTGTTGAGCATGTCCTCACTGCTAGCTCTCTTGAGCTAAGAGAGAGGCAGAGAGAAAGAGAAAATGAAGAGATATCTTTTCCATAATGAATGTGATATACCACACAAGCACACAAGCAATACCACCTGCCGGGCAGTAAACATGCAGCAATGAGTTTGGAGTGTACAACGTGGGAAGTGGAAAAGTATGGAGCAAGACAGACCTGTGTCTATCATTCACAGGCAGGGTATGATCTTCCATTACTGTTTTGAAGAACATATGAGACTATGGGTGGACATTACTCATCACCTCACACTGCAATACTGAGTTTAAAAAAAAAGAAAAGAAAAGAACTGCTTCCCTGATGAAAAAAAAAATTTTTTTTAAAGAATGGGAGGAAAAAAAGAAAGGGAGCAGGTGAAAAGGGCATTGTGAGACACACAAAAGGCAGAATAGGGCAATGCTGCACAAAATATCATGGACAACAAAAACTAGCTTAGGAACAAACATCTGGAGGAAGCAGAGGGGAGAGTTACAAACAGCCTGAACATCTCCGTGCTCAATGCCAAGCACTGTGCATGATGTCTCACAGGCTGCCTTTTCAAAGGGAAGCAAACTTGTCTGAAGGTCAGAACCCTGTTGAAGGACAACAGAAAGAAAGCAGAACTCCTTCACTCTCCTTCTTTCTTCCCTGTCATAAAAAACCAGAACAAACATTTATTGAAGGTGTGGAAATAAAAGGTGGGGGGAAGGGGTCCCTAAAAGAACTCACATTTCTGGCCCAGGAAATAATATTCAAGGTTAGCCAGAAAAACCACAAATAAATTCTCTCAACCATCATACATTTAAGGAGTATCGTTGCAGAGGTCTAGAAGACCAGAGGCAGGCACACCCAGAGCTAACACTGACCTATCCACACCAAGAGCAAAGAGCGTGAAAAAGACATCAAACCAATGGAGACACAGAGCAGGCAGTTCCTGTCCACCACCCTCGTCAAAGGGCCAAACGTCCCTCTTCACCATGCTCCACTGACTTCAGGGTATTTACTGAGGGACAGAAGTTTAAATATTTGCACAATTAAAAAAAAAACATATCCCAGTTTTGCAACATTTAAATTTCAGGGTATTACTATACATACCCCAGGATGTTTCTTGAAAGTGATAAAGCACCAAGTGTTAGTGAGATCTAGGAGCATCCACCATGCTGAGGCCTCATTAAGGGGGTTGTAAGCTAGTGACACCACTCTGGAAAACAGGCAGCAGCTGGGAAGCACAACACTTGCACTCTAGCTTCAGCCCTCCCATTCTCCCTCCATAACCCAACTGAGAGAGCACACGAGCTTATTTAAGGACCGTTCATTGGAATAGCCCCAAAATAGGATAATCCAAACATTCTCCAGTGGAAGAAGGGATAAATTAAAGTGCTGAAGTATACAGTGAAAAATGACACAATAACTTTCAAAAGAATATAGACATGTTAACAAATGAATGGATTGCACAGTCTTGTGCTAAGCGAACGACACCAGACACAAAGAAGTAGTCATTGCTGAGTACCTTTATATGAAGTAAATGGTGGTGATAAAGCTTGAACTCATCAAAAAGAATATGATGGCTGCCAGAGACAACGGGGGCAGGGAGGGGAATGGGAAGTACAGGAAAGGGAGGCAGATGGGGAATGAGTGTGGCTGGTTTGGTGGAGCTGGATGGTTAAGTCTAAGACTGATATGTTTTCTTCTCTATTTTAAGGATGTTAAGCTTTATGAAAAAGGAAATTGGAAGAGGGTTTGTAATTTGGGCAAGGTTCTGCTTCCACCTCTGTAAATGCTAGTTAGTTTATCTAACCTATCTATCTATCTAGTTATACCTATATATATAGCTACAGTAATATAGAAAACATATACATACATATATATATAGTATATCTTAAATATACCTATATCTACTGGTGACATACACAAAATAAAAACTTGCCATTTTAAGTGTGCAATTCACATTCCTAATGCTGTACAACCATCACTACATTCATCTTCAGAACTTTTTCATCACATCAAACTGAAACCTACCTTTTAAACAACTTCCTACAGTTACTTTCTAAAAGATGGAAGAAGGCAAAAGTCTTAAAATTAACCAAGCAATCCTGGTCCAGATCTCTCAACAAAACAAAGAACTAATACTGAAAGGGTGGTTTGCAGGCACTTCCAGTTCCTAGGTGTAAACACAACCACATTTTCTAGTCCACAGCAGAGTCATCTCTAGCAACAGGACAAAATCTGACAGTTGAGTTGATGGAGAAGTCACATGGCAGGACTTCGTATAGGGACTCCTGTAGTTGTTTTTCTTAAGCCTGGCTCAAGAATAAACAGGATTCCTGAAGCCAAGCTGTCCAGCCTCTCAAATTATCTATCAAGCACCAGAGTAACATGTACTTAGTACAAAATGACAGTAGCTCATGGGGACACCAACTTTTTCCTCCATAAAAAGAAATTATTATTTGCTCTGTCCAGAAGCCTGCCCAGGGACCTCCCTGAGTCCCCAGAGGGAAAGTAATTATGATCTCAGACTTTACAAATTCCCTAGATGACACCTCAAATGAAAAAGGGAAATTGTTGTAGTGGGAAGGGACTGCTTAACAAAATAATGCAAATGATATACACTTGGATATTCCTCTATCTGGCTCCCCAATATTAAAGATGATGCAAGTCTGACATGAATAAATGCAGAGTTATCAAACTCTATATAGCAAAAGGCCCAAGGGTGCAAAGACTCAGCCTGCAAATCAAAATGGAATCTAACATGGGAGACCCCCCGACCCCAGGCCATAATCCCATGACAACTTCTGCCCCTCGGCCCCCAGGTGTGGTACTGGGTGGTAGAGCTGAGCTCCACTTCCTGGCCGTTCCATAAAGGCTTGATTCTTGGTAAGATGATGGGTGGGGGCAAAGAGGACAAGAGTGAGCAAGCAGTGGACAGATTCCCCTTGTTGTTTGCTACAGCCACAAAGTGGTGCCAGGGGTGGTAAGAACACCAAAGGGGCTTTCAGCAGTAGCAGGAACCAGGAGGAATACCCAGGTAGCTGCCGCACCAGATTAAGGCTGGAGGGTGTCCAGTAGGGATTTAGTAATTCATCTCAGAGATTGTCTTTGCTTGCAGGGGAAGGGAGGAAAAGGAGATGCAGGTTATGGGATGTCTATATACACGGTGCCCAGCAACCACATGGGAGGCAGCCCAAGTCACGGTTAAGGATGTATGTTCCAGACACTGCCTTCTGGTGACATACCTGACTCTTCCTCTTCCAACCTATGTGACTGGGGGAATTTTGCTATGGTGCCTTAATTCTAAAAGGAACAAAAAATGAAAATATTTACCTCTAGTCTTGTGTACTTAAAATACAAAAGTGTTACTGATTCAAAAAGACACCTGTACCCCCATGTTTATTGCTGCTTTATTTACAATAGGAAAGACATGGAATCAATCCAAATGCCCAAAAATAGATGACTGGATTAAAAAGATGTGGTACATATACACATGGAATATTACTCAGCAATCAAAAAAATACAAACTCTTGTCTTTTGCAGCAACATGGATGAAGCTAGAAGGGATCATGCTTAGTGAAATAAGCCAGAAAGAAAAAGAAAAATATTGAATGGTTTCACTCATAGCAGGAGCATAAAGGACCAGGGTTGGGGGGAAACAATAATGAACAACTATATACCAGAGACATTATATGTGGGTGGAGGGGGGAGGGAAGTGCACTGGACTATGGTGATGGCACATGAGTGATTTGGTGATGGGAAACCCACGGGAATTATAACTGAGATGGAAAAAGACACAAAATGATGTAAAAATAAGCTTATATTATTAAACTTTTTTTTAATTTATCACTAAAAAAAATACAAAAGTGTCAGTAGCTACGGTCACCATCATCATCATCATTGTGGAAACTGTGGGAACTCAGCCAGAGGCTGCTGGCTTTGCTGTCTGACAGTTTTCCCAGTGCTCCTTCCATGAATGTTCTCTGGGCGAGTAGCAATGGCAGCATCTTTATATGTACAAACTCAAGCTTAGAGCTAGAGAATGGAGTAGTGTGCTGTATTAGAAAAAGGATGATGGACTAGCTTTGGGGCCTTGGATAAGGGACTCAGTTTCCTTAGCTACAAAATAGAATACTTTGATTAATTTGCCTACAATCCTTCTCACCTCATAAATCCTAATTGCTTTATTCAATTTTATATACTTGGGCTTAAAGAAATTGTTGAGTAAGCTTGTTGTACATGGCACCATTAACCTTTGACTCTGGCCTTCATACAGCCTTTGAACCTTCTTTGCATCATAAACACTGCACCGTAGCATATGTCAAATGTTGCAGTCACTGATTGAGTACAAACATGTTGAACTTTGATCATTAATCCTAAAGCAGACTTTAAATTCGATCCATAGACAAACATGGACAGGCCATGACATAGCCTAGGGCATGGCTAACACAACATTTCAGACCTAAAAGAATATGCTATAGGAAGGTCTTAAAAATATGTCCTTTTTCCCCACTCTGTGCTGTTGTTAATATTTTATAATTTCGAAGGGATTTCAGCTATTGCCTAGCCTTTCACATTTAATTTCATCTAATCACCTTTCAATAAACACTGAAGAGACAGTCCAGAGTTGAAAGCCAGGGAGAGTGAGCAGGAAAGCAGAGGTGCTGGTGGAAAGGAGGATATTTCTCTGGGCTCTGTCATCCCAGACCACACAGAGTGGCCCTAAACACATGCTAGAGACTTACAAACAGAAAGAGGAGAATGGAGAGAGTTCCCGAAGGCCCTTCCCTTCTTATTATGGCACCAAGCTTTCAACTATGGCCTGGCTTTTGCTTTCTACCATCCTGGGCACAGTACTCTAGTTCTGTGCTGTGCTGGCTGCAAGCTTACTGTAAGCTGGGCATTCATATTTCATGCAGGCAGCATACCTGTATACATGTGCACTTTGTACGGATGTCGAAACGTAGCAGGCCGACCCAACAGTGGTTCGATATTGCATGTCTGAGACACACCATGAACAGGGTT